AAAGGCTACAGAGACTTCTGGTGAAGAGGGAGAGAGAGAGCTGTGTAAGAGTTGGGTGAAACTGGACAGTGTGTAAACCAGGCTAGGACCCTTCTTCACAGCTGTGGGGAGTTTCCCAGCTGGCTGGTGGGAACAGGCATCCCTCAGGTCTTACGTGAGTAGTAGCATCTTTCTTATTTTTGGTGGATCTTTCCTTGGGTTCAGGTAGTTTCCTCCCTCTTAGACGAGGGACTGTGACTGGCTGAACGCTCCAGAAGCTGGGGTATAACATTTTTCAGAGGCCCCGGAATTCTCTTTGTACTCTCCAGGACTGTTCTGAGCACTACCCACTCGGATTCCCCGGACTCTGAACGGACACCCAAGGCTCCACAGTCCTTGTGGCTTTGCCCTGGCTCTCCCTCCCGTGGTACACGCTGGGATCTCAGCAAAGCTGGGGTGCTCCTGGGCCTGGCCTTATTTCTTTCTTATCTGTCGGGAAGCTCTGGTTTTTGCTGTGTGACGTACACAGTTGTGAATTTCACCATTTTTTGGCTCCTGCTGTTGGGTTGGTTGTTTCAGACAGGGTGGTAAGTCTGATCACTGATCCCTTCCATTTTTACTGCAAAGAAAAGTTTGGTTGAATTTTATTTACTTGTTTGTGTTTATTTATTTTTGAGACAAAGTTTTTATTATGTAACTCTGGCTAGCCTGAACTGTTCTGTAGACCAGGCTGACCTTGAATGCATAGAGAGCAGCCTACCTCTGCCTCCCTAGTTCTGGGATTAAGGGTATGAACCACCACACCTAGCTCTGTTTTATTTTATCTTAAAATATTTTTATGTGTATGAGTGTTTGCCTGCGTGTGTGTTTGTGTACCACATGCACACCTGGTACCTACAGAGGTCAGAAGAAGGCATTGGGTTTTCTGGTGCTGTAGCTACATATGTGTCGGCAGACTATTTTTTCCATCTGTCAGTTCCCAAATAACTGACAAGGAGACTCAGTATTAATTATAAAAGCTCAAACTTGTTACTAGCTAACTCTTATATTTTAGATTAACCTGTATTTTTTATCTACCCTCTGCCACATGACAGTACCTTCTTTCAACAGGGCATATTCATCTTGCTTCCCTTTCTGTCTGCCTGGTGATTTCTTCTGCCTCTGCCCTTCTTCCCAGCATCCCCACTGCCCCGAAAATCCTGCCTAGCTATCGGCCAATCAGCTTCTTATTAACAATGAGAGCAATACATACTTACAGTGTACAAAGACTGTTCCACAGCACAGTGAACTGCCATGCTGGGAACTAACTCGGGTTAGTTTGGAAGAGCAGCTCTTAACCACAGAGTCATTTCTCTAGACCCATTGACTTTTTTTTTTTTATAGCACTGGGGATCCAGCTCAGAGTCTTGCACATGCAGCTAGATGTATCAGAACTTTGAATATGCTCTTGCTTAAACTCTGGAGCAGATTGAGAGGAACGTTAGCGCGTTGTCATTTTAAGGGCTTTTTGGAAAGAAATTATTTCTTGAACTTTGCAGAGCACACGTGGTTACTTTTATTCCTTTTTACACACCTCAGCAGCATGCTCTTAAACGTCCCATAGCCAGGGCCATACACTCAATTCAACTGCCCCAAGCATCAGGTAAGGAGACAGATATGCTAGGTGCACACACTGTGCTGCGTTAGCTCCACTCCAGTGCCGGCTTCAGAGAGGCAGGGTGGCTCACCCGTGGATGTGGGTCGCCTGCTGTTAGCCTGGCCCACTCTAGGCACAACGTTATATTCAGATTCTCCCTCTCTCATTGTTTGTTTTCCTAGTGACGGTGACTACACCCAGGGCATCTGCACATTTGCTGGCAAGCTCTCCCCTCAGCCCCAAGGTGACATTCTAGATTATTGCTGGGGTTTTCCAGTCCTCAGGCCTGGTGTCGTGGAGCATAGATAAGGTCAATGTCTCAGCTACTCTTACTCACCTGCCTTCCTGCAGCAATGTGGCAATGACTGACAAGAACAGGACCTAGAAATCCTTAAAAAAAAAAAAAAGATTCTTTCTGGGCAGTGGTGGCTCACGCCTTTAATCCCAGCACTCAGAAGGCAGTCAGGTGAATCTCTGTGAGTTCGAGACCAGCCTGGTCTATAGAGCAAGTTCCAGGACAGCCAGGACTGTTACACAGAGAAACCCTGTCTCATAAAACAAAAACAAACAAAAAAAGATTCTTATGTGCACCCAAACCCCTGATGCCCACACACGCATCCTCCCACACACACTCTTAAGATCATTGGAGAGAGGTGGGGAGAAGGGAGCTTGCAGATTCTTTGTGGGAAGAGTTCTTTGGAGACTTGAGACAATCTGGTTTCAAACAAGCTATAAAAGGCTGACCTTGAAGCCAGCACGGGTAGTGCACACATTTAATCCCAGCACTCAGGGGAGATCTCTGTGAGTTCGAGGCCAGCCTGGTCTACAGAGTGAATTCCAGCATAGCCAGGGCTACACAGAAAAACCCTGTCTCAAAAACAAACAAACAAACAACAACAAAAACCAATAACCAAACAAATTTAATAAAAACTAACGCCCCTCCCCCAAAGAGGATGACATTGAACTCTTGATCCTCTTGCTTCTATTTCCCAAGTGCTGGGATTGTGGGCATGCTCAACCACACCCAGTTGAGGGAGCAGACTCTTCAGGGCTGTGAACCTGCTGGGCTCCCAGAGCACGCGGTGGGAAACCCAAGGCCAATTCCTGAGAAGATACTGTGCTCTCATCCAAGCCAAGGCAATATTTTGTGGAGAGGGTTGCTACAGATAGATTATAGGACATGTGCTGTACCCCTAAGCTATACCCCAGCCCAAGGCAGAACTGCTCATGCTTATGAAGATAAGTCACCTTCTCCTCCCTGGGACCGATCATCCAACCTGGTCTGATTTGGATTATTGTGTCGATGAAGAGGTCTATCGGGCCACAAAAACTTTTCACCATTGACCAACCATCATAAGACATCTGTCCAGCCTTCCCCCCATCTTAAACATTTTAAAAAAACATTTATTTAATATGTATGTGAACATATTAAAACATATTTGTTTTAAGGCATGGTCTTGTTATGTTGCCCATGTTATCCTTGGTCTTCTGGGCTCAAGTGATCCTCCTGCTTTAGCCTCCCAAGTAGCTGAGACCAACAGAATCTGTATGATGTCAGCCTGATCAGGGGTCACTTATCTCAACTTAGTTATTTTGCAAGGAGCTGGCCTACAGGGTCAGCTCTCTCTCCGTAGCCATGAGTTCTGTTCCTGCAGATTCAATCACACAGACCCAGAATATTCGGGGGTGGGGGTGGGGGACCACATCAAACCTGAAGACATTAAAAAAGAAAAAAAAGAAAAGCTCAACACACACTTTTTTTTCCTCGTCATTATTGTAACAACACAGTGTAAGGACTGACAGCATTTACATCATATTGGGCGTTATAAGTGCTCTAGAGACAATTGAAATATACAGGAGAATATGCTTCGTTATATGCAGATACTACACAGTTCTACACCAGGGACTGGGGCATCCTCAGATTTCAGCATCCTGAGAGCGGGGTGCTGGAACCAGCTCCGCGAGGATACTGAGGGATGGTGCCTTCTGACTTTTCCGCATTCTTATGTTCTCACTTGAGTTTCTGCTCCACTTAGCTAGGGCCGCTTGGGGTGGGAGGTAGATCTCAGAACATGGGAACACAACAAAAGAAAACAAAAGCGCCCTCTGGTTTGCCCCTAGCTTTGCCCCAGGTTGTTTGGCGCTGAAAGCTTGTCACTTCTCTGTCACTCACCTGTAAAATGGTGTAGATTGGCAGTCCTCATGCCAGGTCTTCTGGATCTGCCAGGAACCTGGGAGCCCTGGAGAGCAGCACTAGGAAGGGAAGCTGAGCTCTCCCTTCCCCCTCCCCAGTGCTCATACCCATCGGAGCAGCTACTTTTAGACACGGGAGTTCTTTGAAAGAATGATCCAGTCCTTAGGGGACAGTGGGGCTGGATCACCATGTCTCCTCTCATCTGCGTGCTTGATCTTCTGAAGCTGCTCCAGCCATTTCTTTCAAGATCTCCCCAGTCGCCTCGCGGACCCAAGCTCAGCAATAGCACTGCCCCATTAATGCCTGCCTGTGCATGGAAGCTGCTTCCTCGGCAGAAGCCCAGCTCTTGATATCACACCCCTACTGCCTGTAATACCATTTCAAAGCAGGGGTTCGGCCAACTTGTTGTTGCTGCCTGGTGTCATGAGCTGTGTCACATGGGATGAAGCCTCAGGACAGAACCTTTGCTTTTGGTAGGAAAAGCCAGGCTTTGGTCTTTGAGTCTCCTTAACACCCTCGAGACACCTAGTCTTTAGAAACCAGGGAACCTGTCCTAGAGAAATTTCGGGTTCACGAACTCCCACACAAGACCGAGTCTGTGTTCTTGTCTTAACTAGATTCTGCGCAAATTCTTCTGCCCCTCAGTACCTCTCCTGGCAAAGCTTCTTTGTACTCCGTAGCCATGAGAGAAGTATGCCCTTGAAGCCTGAGATGCAGATGGGCTTGTACCTGCTACGCTCCATTGTCAGGGGGCATCCCTGGATTTCAGAGGCAAGCGCAAAGGAAAGGAGCAACTCTGGGGTCTGCTCAGACTGTAGCCCTCTCTGCAGGTGGAAGGGGAAGGAGAGTTTACATAGAGACCCTCAAGATGGGAGCGTGGGAAAGGGTCAGAAGCAGAGGATCACGACAGCCAGGATCCACTGGCCCTGAAGCAGGCAGTTGTAAGGGGAATGAGCCAGTGGCGGGACTTTGGGGAAATCAATCAACCTTACTTAGTGTCATGACCAGCTGCAGGCCACTCTGTAGTGGAGTCGCAAAAACCAAGGAGACTGACGGGTGTGGGCGTGGCAAAGGATGGCGGCTGTTCACCAATAGGGGAGCATTCTGGAACCCACTTCCGGTGAGGGAATCCTCGGTTTGCCAGACGCTCCTAAGCCAACGCTCCATCTCCTCCTGCTTCTCCGCCCCCCCCCCCCCCCCCCCCCGCCGCCCTCTCTGTCCTGCCTTTGGAGAGTGTTTAGTCACATCAGCAAGCGTGACGAGAGCAGGGCAGTGCAGGACAGAGGCCTAGGTTCAATTCTGGTCCAGAAAAGCTCCCCCTGAAGTGAAGTATCCTGATTACGATCCGATGGGAAGGGGTGAGATTCAGCAGGCTGTGGAGGCTAAGGGCGTTTATTGTTAGTGAGGTACCCTGATAGGACCCAAAGATGGGGTACTTTAACATCACTGAACTTCTTGCCACCTGGGAGAAAAATGACCAGCCTCCCCTCTTTTCCAGAGGAGGAGTCCTTGTTGGCACTGTGCGGGCAGGTGAGCCCTCAGCTCCTTACAGGGAGAGCCTGGTATCACCTTGCAAGGCCCTCCCGCTGAGAACTCCAGACGTAGGGGTTAAGTAGCAAAGAGATGGAGGCTGGGACATCTGGCAGGGTTGAGAATCCATAGTTGGAGGGTGAGACACCATGTCGATGTGGAGAAATCCCTTCCGGCTCTAAGCTAGTGTGGCCTCTGCCTTATTTTCACCAACAGGGTTCTGGACCCACGTCTGGCCTTCCCTGGGTTCTCTCAGCTGCTGTAGCCAGAGGTGTAGGTGCTAGGCCTACGAAGCCAAACATCGGGAAGATCTGGCTGACTGTTGGGAAGTACCACCGGGCTGAGGTCACCCGGCCCCCCACGGCCCTTCCAGGATAAGCTAGAATGGTGAGAGTTGGGCAGATTTGGGTCATAGATGGTCTCCTTCAGTGCCAGCCAGAGAGTGTCACGCTTCCCGTTCAGCTGGCCCCGCTCAAGTACGGGGTGTCCAGTGCCATTCACGGCTTCCGGTGAGGTGCCTACAGAATCTGGCACACGGGCACTGGGCTCCGAGGCGTAGGTGTCATCAGAGGCGCTGAGCCCCTCCAGGGTGCTGGCTGAAGAGTCTGGGAGCTCTTCAACTTTGGGGTTGGGGCAGTGGGCAGGGCCTTCTGGCAGGGCCTGCAAGGGCTCCGCTTTCTGTCCCTGGGAGTCCTGCCTGATCCAGGTTTGGGGGTTGGGACCGGCTTGCTTATAAGGAGAAGAAGTCTGCAGAGCTGGGCACTGGCTGAAGACTGTCTGGTGGTCCAGAAGCAGATCCCTTGGGGAGGGAGGGGCGGGTGTCTGCCCGTGGCAGCAGCTGCCATCATGCAGCTGCAGGTCTTCAGAGAGTATGGAAGGCCGGTGGGACAGCTTGCTGGTGGCCGTGCTGGTGTCGAAGCTGGGGCTCCGGCGCCGTGCCAGGGGCTGCAGCTCATAGTGCTCCGAGAACCCGGGTGGCCCTGTCCGTCCCTTCTCATCAGGCTCCTCAGTCCCGGCGTCCCATGGCAGGTGAGCACAGGGCCACAGGATCTGCCCACAGTTCTTCTCTGGCCCGAAGAAACAGCACAGGGACTGGAAGAAGAAGCTGGCGAATCCACAGCCGACAAACTTGACCATCATGACGATGATGCCCAGCTTTCGATAAAGCAGAATGGTGGAAGGCAGCATGAGCACCCCGGAGGCAAACAGCGCGCCGGTCCCCATTGCTGCGGCGCGGCTGGTCTGGCGCAAGGAGAAGGCCACGCGGCTCAGGCGGTCGGGGTGCGGGCACAAGTGATACGAGATGCAGTAGTTGACGGTTAAGTCTACAGAGAGGCCCACGGAGGCCGAGAGAAAGAGGGACTCGGCAGTGTTGAGCTGCCACTCGAGTAGGACCAGCAAGCCCACGGTGAGCAGCACGGTGCCAGCCACAGCTGCCACAGAGAACAAGCTGAGGGGAACATTCCAGGTACCCAGGAGCAGTGTGGCAAAGGCCAGGGCCAGAGCCAGACCCAGCACCACAGCAGGCTCTGTGCTTAGGCTATGCTGCAAGCTGTACAGCTCCAAGGTACTGGTGAACCAACCCTGGGTGAGGCCCGGAGGTGCCTTGGCCAGCTCTGTAGACAACCAGCGGCTGACCTCGGTGTAGAAGTGGTGAACTGGGCCGTACTCTGTACTGTATGGTAAATTGGTCTGGAACTTCAGAACCAGAGCGGCCAGGTTGCCATGAGCATCGAAGCGGAGTCCCAGGTCACGGGTGCCATCAGGACTTTGCTCCAGAGCCATCATCTTGAGACAGTGCAGGTAAAGCTGGGGAGCCCAGGGGAATTCTGACTGGCCACAGCATAGATCGGGACTCAGGCGGCCACAGCTGGGGCTTTCCATCCACTGCTGGAGGGTTTCCACTAAACACAGCGTAGGCCAACCCTCTGGCTGATCTCCAAAGAAGCTCTGATTCCGGGCTCCATGGCAGAGTGCCAGGAGCCACTCCTGGGCCTCGGGGCTGCTGGGTGCGAAGTCAGGATCGCTCACTACTGAGCTGTTGCTGCGAGGGTCCAGGGGATCACTAGTGTCCACTGGCAGGACTCCCCACACCAGAACTACTGGCAAGTTGCCACCCTCGTTTGGAGGCAGATCCTCGAACAGGAACTGCTGGCGGTATTCAGCATCAAAGCGCTCAAAGGGATGGCTAGACCGGAAGACCTGGCCTCCAAGTGGTAGAAGAATGGGCAGTTGCAGGCGTGGGCTGACGCCGCCGATGTAGGCGCCCCCTGCCGCCAACGCCGCGAACCAGCAGATCCAGATGTACCGAAATTTTATGACGCCGCAGGGCAACAGGCGCTGGAAGAGCAGTCGCGAAAGGATAGAAAAAATCCTGCGAAGAATGCGGATCCGTCTGTGCAACGCCAGCAACAGCCGCAAGGGGGCGCTACCGCCCCTCTGGCCCTGCGCTTGGGACACACAGCCTCGTGCCAGGTAGCGCTCCTGGAGCACAACGGTGGCAGGAAGCCAGACTAATGTGAGCCCCATGTGCACTAGCACAGCAGTGCCCATGAAAAGAGCGAAGCAACGCACGGTGGGCAGGCGGCTCAGGTAGCTGCCGTAGAAGGCCGCGCTGGTGGTGAGGCCTGAGACCAGAAGCAGGTAGCCAAAGTGGTGCATGGTGCGGCCCACACGATGCGCTAGACCCCCGGAGGGCACCTGGCCCCTGCTGAGGCGCCACAGGTCGAAGAAGATGAGCGTGTAATTGACACAGACGCCACTAAGCAGAAGGAGGGAGGCTAGATTGACAAAGGGGAAGTAGGCCATGCGGAATGCAACATGGTAAAGAAAGAAGGCCACCATTAGGGAGCCTAGCACCGCCAGCAGTGACATGAACGTGATGAAGAGTGAACGCAGGTAGAGGGACATACCAAAGAAGATGACAACCAGGGCCAGCAAGGGGTACATGGTATCTTCGGCCAGGTAGTACTTCAGCAGTCTAGGCTTGAGGCCCAAGTCCATGCCACTGATAGATGTATAGTTGTCAGAGACCTTGACGGGGTCAGCAAGGCCATCCAGGTAAATATCTAGCAGGGAGGAAGTTTTTATAATGGGCAGGAAGAGCAGGCCGAACTTGAGGGAGGGCACCTGGTAGTCTGCAGTCTGGGGACTCAGGAAGTCTCTGTCTAGCAGGAAGTGCAGGAGCTGATAGACAGCGCTGCTCCGGGTACACTTGGTGGGAACTTGGGCACAAAACGGGGGCTTGTTCTGCCCGGAGCCCATACAAGCAGGCACCAGGACACCGCGATGGTAGAAGGTGGCGCAAAACCGAAGCAGGGCCAGCGTGCGGTCTGCATCAGCTTGGGTTGTGTCCTGGCAGGAGGAGCGGTTGGACAGCACAGCCAGATAGTTGCCCAGGGACCAACTGGGACAGCACTCATTGGCTGCCGATCGCTGGCACAGAGCCCCGAAGCTGATATGAGAGCGGATCTGTAGGACACACGGGAGTGGGAGGAGGGAGCTCAGAGGGAAGTCCAGGGGCCAGGTCTCCCCAGCCCTGCCCTGGGCCCTCTCGTCTTCTGTCACACTTCAGGGCAGAGAGAAAACGTCCTGACAGTCCATCAGAAATGCTTTATCTCAAAGCTGCCTTTGCCCCTGGCCTAGATTCTAGCAGCTCTATCCTGGCTTCATCGAAGAGGACCCTCAGGGCAGTGTTCCCAGGCCTCTCCCAGAGGCTCTGCCAGAAGGGCTCCTACAGGCCACCCAACCTTAACTCTGCAACTTCCTGAGTCAGGGACTGGAATGGAGGTGACAGGCCACATATGGAACAAGGCCAGGAGATAGGAAGCTGGAAGCAAGCAGTGGGAGACTCTCTAAGGTCACTGAGAAATCCCGGCTCCTTTTTCCCTGGGGTGCTCAACTCTTTTCCCAGCCTGTACCCGTTTTCCTCTTCAGCCTTGCTGTTCACATCACAACAGCTGGGGTTGTACAAAGAGCTCCCACCCAGGAGTTAGACGCCCCGCTCTCCTGCTAACCTAACACGCACAGCCTCGGGGCTTAGTTCGCAGCAATGCTGAACGCTTGGCAAGCCTTCGCTAGTGTCAGCATTATGCTAAAATCTTCCAAATTCTTTCTCATTTCACTGTCACGATCCCTATAAAGGATGTACCATCACGGTCCCTTTTCCACTTCTGCAGGGCTGAGGATGTGGCTCAGTAACAGAGCACATGCTTAGTACACACAAGTATCCAAGCTTGATCCCCAGCTCTGCAAAAACAAAAGCCAGCACATATGAGGCCCCGAGAGATTAAGAAGTCATGTGCCAAGGGAGCCCGAGAGCTAGCCTTGAACTTGAGCATCTGAGTGAAGAACATATATTCTTCTTAACCAGTGTCCTTTGATGCTCTGGATGTCATGGTGTGACTTGGGCCATAGAACTACAGAGTGGTTTCCACACTGATTTTAGCAGCAAACCCGTCATAGTTGTGAATGTATGTGGTTCTCTAATAGCATAATCGAATTGGCCTTGCTTGGGTTGAAAAGGGCTGCAGCCTTGAAGCCTAGAGTCTCAGCTTCCAAGGGTCGGAGTCCCCTCACCACATTTTTGAGATCTCTTTTCAAATCCTTTGAAACTCCCCAGGCTCTGCTTGAGCTCTCTTTGTGACAGGAGGTTGGTGCTTCTAAAATCAGTCAACTTTGTTTTCCTATCCCAAACCAGATCCTCCAGTAGAGTTGGAATAATTTCCCAAGCAGGCTCTTCCCAGGCCACCCTGGCAGTTCTGCAGTGCACCGGCACCAGGTCCTATGTGTCCTCCGTTCCCACCCAAGCACCTGGTGTCTCCCCAGCCAGCTCACCTGCTCCTGTTCTATGCGACACATGGAGTGGATGGCTTGCAGGTTCCACAGGCTTCCCCCAGAGGTGGATACAAACACCAGCTTTGCATGGCTCTTCTCTGCAACACAACCCCCACACAGGCTCAGCCCTTTGACCCCAGAACCTGGGCCCACTAAAGAGAAGATGCTCATCCTAGGCCACCTGCAGCCTGATTCCCAGGAGCCTGAAGCCTATGTCTGATACCTCATCTCGCCCGCATCAGCTTCACTGCACCTGAATGAAGAGCTTGAGACCTATTTCATTGCTTCATCTTCCTTGGCTTGAATATGGCTCGTGGCTCTATCTGCTCATTCTACTTGGTGGGGCTCCCACTGAAGTCAGGGCTGGCCATGTTGTAGCTTACCAGGAGGACCGCAAAAGAAATTGTCCTCTTCTTTGTCTTCCATGGGCTCCACCATCCTCTTGGTCCGGACCACACTCTCCTCAGCCCTGCCCCAGGCTGCAGGGCTCAGGGTGCTGAGGAGGTTTGAGCTGAGGTAGATAGAGGAGAGAAGTGGTTTTCCCAGAGTACTGTTCGGGATGGTGGACTCACATGAAATGGAAGACCACTCCCCCAAGGAGCACCAGCAACCTCACACATGTCTTCGGAGAGTGTCTCCTCCCAGTGTCCCCTCCCAGAGTTTCTCCTCCCTTTCTCCTCTCAATGGGAAGATGGGAACCTGTTACCTGTTCATCTCAGGGTCTGGGGAAAGAGAAAACAGATTCCTGGGGCCAGTGAGAGCCTGCATCGCTTTCCAGACTTCCAGCTTTCTGCTGATCTCTGTGTCTCGAGGTTCAAAACCCTGCAGGGAGGACAGCAGAGAAGGGCAGGTGTGCAGGAGGGAGTGGGGCCAAGGGAGGAGTGCCCTCCTTCTGTGCTCTTCCCAGGTCTGCCCCTTTGGTGATCCCTACCTGGATTGTAGACATATGATCTCTCTATCATCCTGACAGCTCTCAGGCAATCAAGAGCCCACCAAGGCTACCTTACTCCCAAGAGGGTCAACTGTCTGCCCCAGACTGAGCTGCAACGTTCAGTCCAGGGGTCTCCCTCCCTCCCTGGGTCCCCGGGCCTCTCACCAGTAAAGGCTCAGAAAAGTCAAGTGGAGGACTTCCCAACAGCCCAGCTAGGGTACAGAGGAAGATGAAGGCCAGACACAGCAGCAGCACAGCCATTGGCCACTCGGCTATCAGCTGGGAATAGCTGGAGAAGAGGGAGGAAGCCCGTATGAGTTGACCTGGGTGTGGTGGTAAGGCTGGTGAGCTGGGAGAGCAGAACAGAGAGCCCACGGAGTGGGTACCAGCTTGGCCATGCCGGGGAGTTCAGGGGAGGCCTGGACCTACCTCTTTGGCATCCGGAAAGTGCGTTCCTGCCTGTGGAAGAGAAGAGAGATTTACCAGTCTTCTGGGGTGTGTGTGTGTGTGTGTGTGTGTGTGTGTGTTTGGCGGTGGGGCAAAGACTGAGCATTGGATGGGGAGGACTGAGTGACAAAGATGACAGGGCACAGAGGAAGTAGTATCAGTTTTTAGAGTTGCCCACCCCTAAATTTCAGTGCCCCCCTCCCTCCAAGTTTCCTCCTTCATCAGAGGCAGGAGACATCCAAAACTCCTCCTGAGAGAGGAATCTGGAGGCTTCCATCAGCATCTGCTGTATGTTTCAATGGCAGCAAGCTGGCTCTTCCTGCCCCTCCATACCTGACGCTGACCACGTGGCGCTGGACGGAAGGCGGCTTCCAGACCCCATCATGCTGTGCAGGGTCTATGGCCGTGCTGAGGTTGGAGACATGAGCACACAGAGAGGCTTGATCGCCCAACCCTAGTAAGGAACTGCCTTCTTGATAGTCTTGAGGTGCTCGTGGAAAGGCAAAATGTCCAGCGGTTAGCGGGCTGGTTGGGTCCACAGCCTGGAGGGTGGAGACTGTGGGCGCCGAGACTGCCTCACCTGTTGGGTCTTCAAGGGGACAGGTGTGGAGGGAGCAGCTTCTCTCTGGGCTTGCCTCAGGAGCCATGCCTTTGGTCTGACCTGGGAGAGGGCAGGCAGGGAAGGAGGAGTATTGGTGGGTTATCTGTGTCCCAGGGTCATTCAGTAAGCAAGACAAGGAAAGAGACCAGAGCTCGGGGCTGGTTGGTTTTTGTATTGGTTCTGAGGACAGAGGAGGAGGGTGGAGCTCAAAGCCTGCATGCCAGGGCCCTGACTCTCATCAAAAACAAACATCTATGCATTCAAAAAATACTGCTGGGGCTGGAGAGATGGCTCAGTGGTTAAGAGCATTGCCTGCTCTTCCAAAGGTCTTGAGTTCAATTCCCAGCAACCATATGGTGGCTCACAACCATCTGTAATGAGATCTGGTGCCCTCTCTGGCCTGCAGGCACACGTGTAGGCAGATATTGAATGCATAATAAATGAATAAATATTTAAAAAAAATACTGCTGGTAACCTGCCATGTGTCAGACCCTGCTTGCTATCACACCTGTTTCTGCATACATGATCTTATTCGCTGCCTACGAAAAAAAATTTTCTTGTTTTACAGGTTTGAAAGCAGATTCAGTGAGAAGTAAAGATTAGGACCATGAGCCATGTTCAAGATCTTCTGACCTTCCTGTATGGTTGTCAGTTTATCCCAACCCCATCTCTTTCCAGAGTCTTAATGTGCATACCTGGCTGTCCTGGTACTCACTATGTGGACCAGGTTGTCCTTGAACTCACAGAGATCTGCCTGCCTCTGCCCAGGGTTGGGATTAAAGGGCTGCTCCACTGTGTCCAGCAGATGTCCTTTGAATACCTGTGTCTGTCATTACTCTCCCTAAACCAGTCACTTGGTCCCTCTGTGTTCCATTGACCTCCTGGGTATTTCTTCATGTATTTGATGCACCTGGCTATCAGATCATAGACTTGTCCCCCCTCTCAGGAGGGTGGTGGAGACAGGAAATGCAGAAGCTGATGATTAGAAAGGTTCATCCCCATAACTTCAGTGCCTTGAACAGCTCACTGGCTCAGAAGGTGGTCAGGAATGTTCATTAAGTGGGCACATTGTTAGATTGACTGTGAGGAGTGGCGTGGTGATAAATAAGACTCTGTTCCTGCCCCTGGGAATTCGTAGTAGTTGGGAGATGCAGACAGCCCAACATATTGGTTTGTGTGAGAAAGAAATCCGGATGGCTCAATTTTAATGGGGGCGAAGGATGGTAGAAAGTTCAGCAAACAGGAGTGCTGTCCCTTCCGACAGCCCCGCCCTGGGGCCATGCACAGCACAGCTTTACTTTGTCAAGGTGTGCATAGTTCAGAAAGGGAGCTGGAATATGGCAGGAAGGAGTCAGTGATGACCCCAAATTAGTCATAAGACAACACTGTGTGTAGGTCTCTTTCCAGTCTTCTGCTCTAAGAGAAGGTAGAGTCTCACTTCTGCAGCAGAATTGCCAGTCTTAGGGAAAAGAAAAGCTGGCTACAGGGCAGACTGCCTGGAGACCAGGGGGTTTCCAGCAGGTTTCAGGCCTGAATGGTAAAGCAAAGTCTCCTTTCCCTTGGCCTGCATTGTAGTGATAGGTAGAGCTAAGCCTTTGTGTCTGGCTTTGGGAGAAACGTTTCAGCAATGCCTTTGCTGTGTTTGGGTTTATCAGTAGAGGCTGAAAATTGTTTAGAGACTGTTGAAACCTTGAAGAAATGCCTCTCTGGAGACTCTGCACTTGGTGTTACATGAGAGTGCTTGCATCTACACTGACCTTGGTCCTAAGACACTCCAGGCTAACCTGGAGTTTGTACTTTTGGTAATGGTTAGCCATAAATGGAAGGGACTGAGATCTGTGTGGGTGGTCTGCTCTCAGGGGCAGCAAGAGCAAGATGACTTTGATAGCTGGAACCTTTGTCAGCCCCCATTAGCCTTGTGTATGTTTGAATAAAGGAACTGGAGTCAGCTAGCTGGCTGTCATCCTTCTCCAAGAAGGTTGAACCCCGCTGTTCCTTCGGAAAATGAAGGCGTAGCATCTTGGTGAGCTTCTCTCTCTACTGCAGCCCCCACAACTGACATCAAACAATAGCTAAGTTCTGTCCAGAAACTATGAAGAGAAACTGGAAATAATAGGCAAACCTGGCTTATCCCCCTCCCCGTGTTGGGAGGATGGCTGTTTAAGAGAGCACAAGTCTCAAGGGAGCCATAGAGGTGGGCTCTAGGCTCCATCATCTTTTTGGCTCTGGGGCCCCCAGAGAAGCCAATGATTGAAGCATTTGATGTCGAATGTTTTGATGCAGCAATTTTCTTTCTTGTCATTTTCCAGATTCAGGACCTTAGGGAGTGTGTGCTCTAAGAAGCATATTTGCACGGGCAACTTGTCCCTTCGGGCCTTCAGGTGATACCCCCAGTTCACAAAGGCTTATATCTTGGGAGTCTCGCTATAGCTCTAACCTTAAAATCTTCCTTAGTTTGTTCTCTGAAAGTTGCATTAGAAATCTGATGTCATGATGAAATCACTGATATTTATTTGTACCAACCCAACATTTAGAAACACATAAATTTGACCAAAGATGTTCTAAAGCAAGACCTCAGAGGGCTCCATAAAATGCTGATGACATACGCAGCCAGGGTGCCGGCACACCAACTCTTGGAGGCCAATCCCTTTGAGCCAAAGGGAAACTGGATAAATGCCCTGGGTCATGTGTATGTGTGAGATCATTTATTAATTTATTTACTTATCAAGATGGGATCTCACTGTGTTCCTCAGGCTGGCCTTGAACTCTTAACTCTCCTGCCTTAGCTCCCTGGATGCTAGGATTACAGATGTGTGCCACCATACATGGTACTGACATTTACTAGAGTTTTTAATTCTACAGGTTCTCCTAGTTTAGTCATTTATTTCCTTATGTATTCCACGTGCTAAACACAGTGCTCGGTCTGCACTGGGTCCTGAAGACTTGAATATGGCCAGCATCAGCTAGGGTCTCTCTCTGGAGAACAAAGCCTGCTTTCTGTGTTTTCCTCTCCTGAAAAGGGCTTTCCACCTACCAGACTGAAGAATTAACAAAGGAGGAAAGAAAGCATTTGCTTCCACTTGTGGGGCCTTCTCTTCCCTCAGTCTGGAGACTGTGTGTCAATCTCTGCTTTTTGCCTTTGAAGAAGGCCATTTATTTCACCATTGCCTGCTCACCTCCCTGCCTATTACATGATTATTTTCCCCCTTACCTGACTGCCTGCTTGTGTTCATATTGGATCATGCCGCTGTCCATGATCTCCCCCTTCTGCCCTATGCCTCTCATTATATCGCTGTGGAGAGCCAGAAACTCTCCAGCCTGACTGCTGTAGAGCTTGGCCTTTATCTCAATCTCTCCAACTTACTTATTTAATTTGTAGCACTGAGTTTGATCTGGGTTGGGTCCCGACATGACCAGTATCAGCTCTGGTCCCCCTCTTCAGAGTAGAGCCTGCCTCCTAGGGGTTATGGCAGTTGGGTAGCCAGGGTGGAGGTGCTGTAATAACAGTCCACGACCTTACAGTACAGAGCACAGACTTGTCCTAAGAACCAGGCCCCCGCTTGGAGTGTCAGTCTCTTTTGTAATAGAGGAAGTCAGTCACAGGGAAGGCTGCTGGAAAATGGAGCACTCTCTTTCCCCAACTCCTTCCTGAAGGGGATCAGGTCTCCATCGTTTGCTCCCTTCCACTGGGGTCTCTATGACTCTCGTGCCCCCCTTTGGACCCTTCCAGTCCTCTGCAGATATCACAGATCAACTGATCCCAATTTTACCCTTCTTTGCTGTGTAGGACCTTGCAGCAGTGTAGAGAACCTGGGCTTCTCTGGCCTTACTACAGTAGAACTGAGTCTCTGTCTCAGTCTTTTCAACAAGAAGAGCCAGGCCTCTAAGTAGGATGAGAAACTTCCCAGTCTTCCTGCCTGTGAGCCAAGTCAGGCAGGGGATTGAAAGTGGTGAATCTGGTCTCACACAGAAAGTTACCATTTTATCAGGACCCCAGGCACAGAGCCCCAACTTGGGAGTTCCAGAAGGGGCAATGTGTATGAATTAACCTGGCCCTGCACACACAGAGAAGTCATTTGGATGCCACTGTGATCCCACAGGGTGGCCAGGACAGTCAAGAAGAGCAGTTCACACCACCAAGAAAATAAATGGCCATTTTAAAAACACAAATAATAAACTATTTCAAACATCTCTGCAGTCAATGAATTCATGAGGCACTGTATGATTGGAAGTTGGGCCTCTAGTTCAGATACTTGGAGGCAAATGATCTCCAAACCCTCCAGGCTTTTCTCTCTCCAGTCTTTTGATATATAGCCCAGGCTGACATCAAAGTCAGGGCAATTCCGTCCTCAGCCTCCCAAGCTGAGATTACATATAGCCTATATATACCCATATATATATATATATATATTACATATAGCATATATACCCATGCTAGCCTTGTTCTATTTACACTTCTGCCTCTGTCTCCTAAGTGAGCCCTGGGGTTAATTTGCCACCACACCTGAGTTTTTCTAAAGATAGAGTCTCTCTCTATAGTCTAGATGAAGATGCAGGGGCAGAACCTAGGGGGAGGGACTTAGGAGGCAAAGAAAAGGAGAAACCAGGGCCTATGTAGTCCAGAGTAGCCCTGAACTTGTGACCTTCCTGTCCCAGACACTTAAGTGCTGCATTACAGGTGTGGGTTACTTTGGGTGGCACCAGGCCTGCCTGACTCCTTCCCAAAATGTTCTGGGGGTGAGGGTGGGAGTCAGGATGCAGTAGAAAGCATTCTTTGCATAATAAGGCTCTGGATCTAATTTTTTTAACTGGGGGAAGGACTACAGTGTGTGTGGTGGATATGAAAGGGTAATGAGATGTGCGTGTGCGTGTGTGTGTGTGTGTGTGTGCGCGCGCGCGTTTAACATGTACAGTGTATGTACCCTTATACCTGGTCTATCCCATCCCAGGATGGTACCTAATTCAACAGGAGCATGCTCGTGTTTCTTCTATGGAGTTGAACAAGTCCTTATGCCTGCGTAGTATCCATGGTCTCTGGGGAGCCGCAGAGAGAGGCAGAGGGTTCCAGAGAATTGCTGGAAGAGAACAAGTGGTTCTCATGTCTGGTAGAAATGAGCAAACCAGACAGGGCTGATCCTTGGCAGATACGCCAGACGGCCAATGATGCTGTAGCCCCTGTGCAGATGCTCTTGGCTCTGGGCCCTGCCCTGGTTTGTCGCTACCCCTTTCTCCCCCTCTTTTTTGCAGTGGCTGGAGATGGAACTTAAGGCCTTGTCAATGACAGAAAAATGCTTTATCACTGAGCTGCGCACCCCCCAATCCCCACCCTTTTTTGGTTGCAGGCTATGCCTCCAAGCAGAGTCCCTGGTCTGGAGAATACACCATCCTGTGTCTTACCCTCTTGAATATGGTTTTATATCTTCCAGACTGACAAATTAACAAAAGAGGGAAGCAAATGTTTGCTTCCATCTGAGGGGCCTTCTCTCCCCTCTGAGGAACAGAGTGCACATTTAAAATCAGATAATCTCGACATAATGTGTTTGATCTGTTTTTCACCTCTTAAAAATGCCTTTTATTTCAGTCCAAGCAGGGGAGAGAAGTAGTGTCGTGTCTGAGGAGAGATTCTGGGGGTGGCAGAGTCAGGCAGGACACAGAAATGGCACCGTATTGCTACCTGGCCAGACTGTTCCACCACATGTATGGTGAAGGCAGAAAAATGAGGGGAACACGGATCTGGAAAGGGGTGCTCAGCAGGAAGGTGTTTTTCCTCTTCCACCAGCCCGATGCTCTTTCAGGGGTCAAACAGACCATGGTCTGAACCTCAGATCCTGCATACACGGCGGCTTCGGTCTAGTGCTTACCACACATGGGTACTAAAACCAGTGTGCACACAAGCAGGAGGCCATGCAGGGAAGAAAACAACCATGTGATGGGCAGGCAGCAGCCAACAGCAATGGGCGGACAAGCAACTGATAGTGATGGATAAAGACAGTCCTTGATGTAGATCCCAAACGGCTGCCTCCCTCCCCCCCACCCCCGGACACCTGCTTGGCGAGCCTCTTTTTCGTTGTACATGCACACCCCTTTGCACACTGACATGCAGACTGACGTAGCTGCGGACATGAGGCCTTTTGCAAAGACGCAGAGGTAAGGCCTAGGGGGAGTGGGAGACTCTAGAGGCCAAGGAAAGGGACAGGAGAAAAGGAGGGAACAGTGGGTGGGGCAGGTCCCCCAGGAGGTGAAGGCAATGAGAGTTGGCATTATCGAGTGTCGGCGAGAGGAGGAACTGACCAGGCAAGATGAAGGTGTACATACATACTCGCCCCAGAAGGGCTCTCAGAAAGGCCGGGGAATGAATGAGGTGATATGTGGAGGCAGCTGCTAAGGATACCTGATGCAGGCGTGCTGAGAAGATCTTCCAGCGGAATCTACGGAAGGGCTCTTCCTACTTGTTCCGGCGGCGGCTGCCTTCTGGGGCTAATGTATTCCCCTCAGGCCGGTGCTCGCCGGTACCGAAACTAGCAAGGAGAGGATCACTGCAGCTGCTGGGGCTGCTACCATCGTCCATGCCCGTGGGCGGCGCCGCTGTCCGGGCTCTGGTGCTGAAGCAGAGGCAGCGGTGAACTTTTGCGCATGCGTCAGATTCAGAAGCTAGTCGCTGGGCGGGGCCGAATAGGAATCCACCAATGGACGCAGGACGAGGGAGGACGGAAGGGAGACTGGGCACAAGCTGCGGCAACGTCGGGTGCTGGGGGGGTTCCCTGCCACTAAGGCTGGAGTCTGCTATACAGGCCTCTCTACCCTGGCCAGGTCTGATCATTGTCTTTAGTAATGTGGCCAAACCTTCCTTCCTGGGCGCGTCGTTCCAGAAAGAACGACTGGTGCAAAAACCACAACTTGAACCACAGGCTTCCACACTTCGTAACACGGGAGGGGTAGAGAGGTTGGGTCTCGTGAGTACTCCTGTTTTTCTCAGCATCTCTCCTGTCCTTCTGCCTCCCCGAGGGTTATGTATTTAGGCGCTCGGGATAGGTCCTTCTTCCCACTTTGGACCCGAGTCGGGCGCCTGACTTCCGCATTAGAGCCTCTTCGCGATTTTTTTAAAGTGCTCCACAAGGGCAAAGGAGAGTGAGAGGAGAGAGACATGCCCAGCCCCTTTCTGGCAGTCACCACCACTC